TAAATTCAGGATTGAATTAACAATCTTCTCACAAACAAAGTCTGGAATGATCAGAGCCCATCACATCTTAGAGCACTTAAATCTCCAAGTGTGGGGCAAATGACTCAACTGAAAACTTTGCAAATCAGCAAACTAGCTGCATGCGTAGAGGAAAACAGGATATTATTTACTGACACATTGAGAGTGGTCTGTTTGTAGGAGTCTTGTAAAATAATTATACTGACATGCTTCTTCAAAAATACATTATAATATCAAATAATGTATCTTTATAATTTGACTGTCTGGACTGCTTAAAGTATTGGTGTTATTTTCTTCCAAAGCAGACACACTCATCTCCAAGACGACTAGTTTTGGACAATTTCACAACTCTGGCAGCAAGTGCCTATAAGTAATTCATATACAGTATATTTTGGTTTTTAGAATTGTGTTCTGCATAAAAGTTTGCGTTTTATGTTGTCCTGCTGCAAAAGCTAGACTGACCTTTCTGAAGGTCATACTACAAAACAAATCTGTCTTGCATAAGCTAACTCAGAAAGGAAATAATTATAATACTTTATTAATTCCAGTAGAAATTAGGTCACATAAATAAATACCCCATAACTCATGTGCAACAACTTAGATGCTTGGGCATTTTTGCTGTCTGTTCGAATGTCTTTCCTATTATTTTATCTTATTTCTGTGACTCCCTAATTCACAGAAAATGTGGCCTTGCGTGGTACAGCAGCCCAGTCGATCTCTGAGGACCACGTCCTCTCAGCTGCCCACAATGCGATTGATGGAAACCGTAACTCTGACTTGAGCGCGGGATCGTGCACACTCACTAGTGCACAGAACCGTCCCTGGTGGAGAGTGGACCTGCTTCAGTCCTACATCATCACTTCTGTCAACATCACCAACAGAGGAGACTGCTGTCATGAAAGGCTCAACGGGCTAAAGATCCACATAGGCAACTCTTTGAACAACGAAGGTTTAGGAAACCCAAAGTTAGTACAAATAAAGAAAAAATACCATTAATTTATACAGAGAGATTTTTTATCTTTTATTTAGCCTTGGTGTTAGCGATCTTTGCTTACCTCTGTCTTTCAAACAGGATCAGTGATAGCAGTAGAGGTTTTTCCTTTGTTTGTCAGTTTTGAAAAAAGGGTTTATATCTCTGGACATGTGGTTATAGTTAAATCAAATATTGATAGTCTGAAAGCTGACAGTCAACGGTTTTGAAGGCTCAACATCTGTTACTTCATTTGCCCTCATTTTTGCTCTATAACTTCTGGCTGCTTGCTACAGATATACCACTACTTAAAAATATGTCTGAGCAGTATAAAGTCTGATTTGCTCTAAAGTTTGGCCCATAATTTGTTGGACTGACACAATTTTTGTGTCAGTCAAACCAATTTTGGTATTGATTTAAAACATCTAATTGATATGTCAATGAAGTTCAGACTTCCAGATTTAATTTAAGGTAATAAGTGTACATGAATAATAACGATTTTTAAACACAGTACCCTGATTTTCAAAGTCTCATAAGTTAAAGCTTGACAGGCAGTTTTATGGCCAGGTTAGGCCTGTTCCCCGAGATTCCCTGAGGCTTTTCGTAGTAATTTTAAATATAAGACCGAAAACCATATTATCTGAAAATATACTGGAGGCAATCTGATGGTATAGGCAGTGTATGACTGAGAGTGTTTGAAGATGTTACTGCCATTTGAAGCAGCTGGATGAATCTTGAGGCATACAGGGTACAGAACTGCAGAACTCCTCAGATTCAGCTAAAAACTGTAAAACTGACTGGACACTGTCCAAATGGACAGTGAAAAACTGAAGACAGATAGACCCAGAAACAAGCAGCAACT